TTCGAATTCAAATGAACACTTGACTATTTAAGGCTGAAGGATGTTCGAGCCCGATAAAGCAAAAGGGACCACCCACAAGGCCCGGAGGCAACAGAGATTAAAATTCAAACTATCTATTTAGCTTGAAAGGTCATTTTGCTTCAAAAGGAAGAAAGATTTATATTTACAAATTTTTTGTACAGAGTAGCTACTCTGCCAAAAGGAAGTTCTTTATACAAAAACCGAAAGCGGTATCCAAAGAACGCAGCAAACGACCTAAGGCCCTAAATGACTCAATCTTCATCGGAGGCCGTATTCTCGGCATCGTCCTCATCTTCAGATTCCCCCGAGTCATCTGAGTCCTCCTCAGGAAAGGCCAACCTTCGAGCTTTGTTCTCCTCCGCCCCGGCAACTTCAATCTCAGTCCCAATATCGAAGCCCTGAACTCTGACCTCCTCGAGAGCTTCTCTCCGAGCTTGCCATTTTGCATGTTCGACCATGCTCTCAGCTTTGGCTTGGTTAACCTCGACATCGATCCTGAACTGAGCACTTTGGCATCAGCTCTTTTATTGGCTTCGATCACCTCAGATCTGGCCACTTCAAGTTCTTTAACCAAATCTGCTTTATCTGAAGTGGCCAAATCCAACCGATGCTGAAGCTCTTTCATCTTCTCGATCTGCCCCGAAGCATTTTCTTTCGCAGATCAAAGTTGGGCATCAGACAACTCCAACTAGCTTGAACGGCTTCCTTTTTCGAGGCAAGGATATCCATACACTTTTTAAATTCCTCAGCCTTAGCCATTAGCGTATCTACCTGTGAGTTAAGCCGTCCAATCTGCTCGATCCTCTGCCGAACCTGAAGAATCGAATCGTTAGTGGTTATCTCTTTTTCATCTTCACTATCATGGAACATTCGGAAGACCTGTTCAGCCATCTCCTCATGCTCTTCCCGAGCCGCTGTCAAATATGCTCGAAGTTTTTCACTAAGGAGCTTGTACGAGTCGCTCTTCTCAGTGAGGCTCCGAACCTCGGCATCATGCTCCTCCCGGATTCAAAGAAAGGCCTCGTGATGCAACACCGAAGCCTACAAACGAAAGGAGAAACATTAGAATTACCTACAAATCTATGTATAAAAGAAGCGGCAAAAACACCATCAGAGTCACCCGATTCAAAGCATGTTGGGCCTCGTTGAAGAGATAGGCGGGCCCCACCGCATTCATCACTGATTGATCTTCTTCGGTCACCAAGGACCAAAGGTAACTGGCAATCCCCACAGGGGAAGAAAAAATTCGGGTGTCCGCAGGTACGGAGAGCACTATCTTCCGCCTTCAATCGGGATCGATACTCGGGGCCGGAAATCGGTCCACCAGTTTATGAATCGATGAAGGTTTGGTAGAACCCGACCACGACGCTTTTTTGGGTACCAGCATTTCACCAAAACCGGTAACCTCCTCCGAGGCACCTGACTCGAGCCCCTCCAGAAAACCGTGGATATCGGCTGACCCCTGAATACCCTCATAGGACCGATCCTCCAACATGACGACCTCTCGAATCATGGCATCCGAAATCTGAGAGGATCCGCCAATATCAACTATCCCGAACTCATCCCTTGAAATATCTTCTACTGCCCGAGAAGATCCACCCTCAGTATCCCTTTCAGTCATCTTAGCTCGAGGAGGGATAATCTCGGCTTCTTCTTGTTCCGGGATTATGGTCAAGGTTCCCTGATTTGCTTCCACCAAATTGGAAGATTATTGAATCACAACATTAGCCCGTACGCAGACTAAATTCTCTTCTCCTTCTTCGGGCTCGTCCCTTAAATGGCGGGCCACTTCTGAAGACATAAAACCAAAATCCCCTTTTGGCTTTCGAGATCTCTTAGCCGATTTCTTCTTTTCCGAGCTCGGGGAGCCCGATACGTCTTTTCTCTTCCTTTCTTTTACCTGCTTCAGGACAGGAACTTCTTCGCCACCAGATGGGGGCCTCATGACTACATCTTTCCCGAGTTTTACAAAAGGGAAAAGGGAGATTTATCATACAAACCGATGAAGAGATAAATCGACAAAAAGATTTACCATGACTGCGGGCCTCCCATCGACCCTTTGATAATTCGACCCAAGCACGCTCGACGTACGGTCTCTGCAACACCAGACTTTCGACCCATTGTTTAAGATCCAGGATCGGTTCCGGCATTCGAGCTACAGCTGTGATAAGAAAAGAAAATGGATCAACAAAATAAAAGGCAATCACAAGATCAAAACGGGCAAAGAGAAACATTTACTCACGGCTCATATTCCATTTCTCGGGAAATGGCAAGTCATCAGTAGGGATCAGGTCCGAGGTTTTGATTCAAACAAAACGGCCCATCCAACCCCGATCCCGAGTCTCGTCTATGCTCGAGAATGGCGCTTTGGTTGCTCGGCGAGCAAGCTTGATCAACCCTCCTCGATAAAGTCGGGGACTGTAAAGGCGCATAAGATGATCGAGGGTGAAGATACGCCCGTTGACCTTGATCGAGAAATATCGAAGAAGAATCACTATACTCCAAAATGAAGGATGGATTTGGCCGAGGGTCACATCGTACCTCTTACAAAAGGCAACGATGACAGGGTCTAGAGGTCCCAACGTGAAAGGATAAGTGTAAATACTTAAGAACCCTTCGACATGGGTAGTAATTGATTCATCAGGCGATGGGATTACTACGAGTTTATTATCCCAGTTGCATTCTTGTATGACTTTAGCGAGAACTTTTTCGGTAATTGAACATTGGTACCTCGACATCGGCTCACACCGACCCGGTATCGGAGAAGGCTTTTCAATTTTAAAATCACATACAGTCGAACACCCTACCGGAACGAACTCCTCAGGGCGGGGGTCTTCCACATCCTCGCCACCAGCAGGTCGAGATGAAGAAGCGGTCTCTTTTTGCGGAACAATTTTAAACGTTTTTGCCATTTAAAATTCCGTGAACAAAGAACGGGAGTATTTGGTGTTTTAAGAAAGAATTTGCAGTAAAACTCGCAGGTTTGCAGGCAAGAAAACTCAGAAAAGACGAAAAGGAATTTAGAAAATTTGGAGGATTGAAGACGTAAAAGTGATGAATGGTGGAAGGAAAGGCTATTTATAGATTGAAGCAATGAACGGTTCAATATCAGCGGTGGTCGACCACCGTCTGACACACATTAAATGCCTCGGTAAAACCGAGCCGATGAGACAACTATCACATACGTCATGGTCGGGATCGAGGTAAACGTCAGCATATATCTGATCGAGCTGTTGGGAAATCATATCATTTCTCGCCACATCCTTTTCCGAGAAACAAGGGGATTATCTGTGTACGGTCAAAACCGATTGACTCAGTCGTACGGACTGGTCGAGACGATGATGTTTCGATCAAAGGGTATCTGCATGACAAGCTCGGTCGAGGTCCGAAGTAAGGGCGTCGAGCTTCGAGCTATAAGACCGATCATTGACAAGCTCGGTATCATTATCGAGCTCATATCCAAATCGAACTACGAGGCAAGGCGTAGATTATCGAAGATGCCTAGACCGACAAACACTCACCCCGAATATCGATACCCCAAGGTAGAATCAAGCTCGAACCAAGACCGGGGGCTCGATCCAATACCGAGCTCGAGCCAATATCGAGCTCGGAGACAAGAGCCGTTACAACCGCACCAAGGGAGATAATCTTAACGAGAACCGAGGAAGAGACAAATCATCATGGATCATCCACTATATGCATTATTTTATTATTTTGTTATAGATAAAGCAATGACCCTCTATTATAAAAAAGGGGATCCTTGTAAGCTATAGACACACAATATAGACTGGAATAAACAGATCTTTTTCTCATATACAAAGACATCTCTTTGTGCTTGTTTTATTTCATCTTATTCAATTTCCATGTTCATCATTCCTATCCTCATAGTCAAAATACCTGTATTGTTATCTTTGTATCAAAGGATATTACGTATCCTTAGAACCATACATAAATTTAATGTTATCCGATTTTTCGGGTAAACAAAACTTACAATATTACAAAGAAAAAGTAGAGTACGAGGTAGAATTATTATATAAAAAGGTATGATAAAGAATAAAAAAGATTATTAATAGTAAGGACTAGATGAGAGAAAAAAATAAAGTTATGACACGACCATACCAGATCAATCGTTACATAAAGTGACATTTTTCCGCGTTACACAACGATATATTTAACAGTAAAATTTAAGTAACAATCAAAATAAATATCATATTTAAAGTATCACATTAAGGAAGAATCAATATAAAGAACAAGATATAAAATAAAAAGATAAAAAGAACTACACTCACCTTCTTAACTCCAACCGAAACTGGGAGGCTCATGACAAGAGGATCATCACCATTCAATACACACACATCCCCCGGCATTGCTTCTCTTAAAATCTCCCCTTTCGCCATGGAAACCTCCTCCAAGTTGGCGAAATTCTCCAAATGTGCAGCATTCACATTCAGAATCACCCTTACATTTGGCCTACACATCCTAGACAGTTCCAAGATCTCACCTTCCCTGCTCATCCCCATCTCCAAAACGCCAAACCCCACATCCCTTGGCATCCCTATAACCGATAACGCGACCCCAATCTCATTGTTCCAGTTCCCTGGACTATAGTAAACAGTTCCAACACTCTCCAAAGCCAATGCTATCATAGTCTTTGTAGTGGTCTTTCCCACACTTCCTGTTAACCCAATTAAACAGCCACTAAACCTGTTTCTTGCATAAAAACCCAAACTTTTTAAAGAACTTAGAGTATCACCCTCCACTTTTACAAACCCATTGTTCCAACCCTCACAAACCCAGTTCCCAATCACTCCAACACAGCCTTTAGTGGCTAATTCAGGGGTAATGAAATTGTGGGCATCAAAGTTTTGGCCAACAAGTGGGAGGAACCATTGTCCCGGTTCAAGTGTTCTGGTGTCCGTACAGATTGTTCCAGGTGGACCCCACCTAATGATTCTGCCATTAACAGCCTTGACTGTCTCTGAAATCGTCCAAAGAGGGGGATTTGGTGAAGCAGAAAATGTAGCACTTTGAGGAATCAAAATTCTTGGTCTGTTGGGTAAAGTGAAAATGGTGGTCTTTGAGTTTGATGGATTGGTAAATAAAAATGGAGAAGGATGAAGTAAAATGGTCAGTGAACTCATTGGAGCAATGGAAATGAGGCAGTAGAGAAAAATGTTTCTTGTCAAATTGACTTTCTTTGTCAGAAAAGTATAACTTTTCCAACATGTTGTACCATGTGCTTGTATTGTTGTACCTTGAACTGACAAAAATTGTAGGACTGCTTTGTTTTTCGCTTTTGGGACAAAATCAGACTTCGGTCTTTCACCGAAATTTATAGTCACCAAATCTGATCTTTGATTTGTAACTGAACATTAAGATATGTTAGTCTTAGTTAAACTAAATTTGCCAGCAACTGGCCAAAAACAAAAGTATTTCCTTAAGTATAAATTTGGTCCAACAAACCGACCACGTCTTTGCAACTTTATATTATACAGGAGCTCTTATATAGTTTCAATGCCTGTTAAACTTGTAATCTTATGAGAAAATGGCTAGAAGTGTAGAAGGAATAAGAAGGTGATCCTAAACTAGCTAATTGCTGTAGTGCAGCTACATTCTGGGGCGAAGCCACCTTTTGCTAATTGATCATCCTTCGTCAAAATATTACGAAAAATTAATTGTGTGTATAAGTAAAAGATTAGATTTTAAATGTATATATCATATATTGAACATCATTTGTGAGAAAATATTTTTACTTCTTACAAGCCTAAACACTCTTCAAGAATTTTCTGGCTTCGCGCATTACAAACTACTTTCTTGTACTGACAAGTCTCTCCCAATGATCTATTCTGACTTTATACAACAACAACAATAATAACCCAGTAAAATCTCACTAATGGGGTCTGGGGAGGGTAGTGTGTACGCAGACCTTACCCCTACCCCGAAGGAGTAGAGAGGTTGTTTCCGAAAGACCCTCGACTCAAAAAAATAAAAAGACAAAAGGACAAAAAGGAGACAATATTAGTATCACAACAACAATCATATATTAAATAGGAACACCATGAAATCAAGAAGAAAGATGCAAAGCAAAGGGAGACAATATTAGTAAATATTAGTATCACCACAACAATCATAAGAAAAATAGGAACACCATGAAATCTAGAAGAAAGATGCAAAGCAAAAGCGATAGCTAGTAAATAGGACATGCACTGAAAAGCGAAAATAGTAAGCCACAACATTGCCACTAGCTATCTTAGACAAAAATCCTACATGGCTAGTCCCACAATGGTACGAAGTAAGGCACGACTCAACTACCTCCTAACCTACAACGCTAATTCTCGACCTCCACATCTTCATATCAAGTGTCATGTCCTCGAAAATCTGGAGTCTCGCCATATCCTGCCTGATCACCTCTCCCCAATACTTCTTAGGTCGTCCTCTACCTCTTCTCGTGCCCTCCGCAACCAGCTGCTCACACCTCCGTATCAGAGCATCTGGGCTTCTCTTATGAGCATGTTCAAACCATCTAAGTCTCGCTCCCCGCAACTTGTCATCAATGGGAGCTACATGCACCTTCTCCCGAATATCATCATTCCTAATCTTATCTATCCTAGTGTGCCCGCACATCCACCGCAACATCCTCATTTATGCTACTTTCATCTTCTGGATATGTGAGTTCTTAACGGGTCAACACTCAGCCCCATACATAATGACAGGTCTAACCACCGCTTTATAAAACTTACCTTTGAGTATCGGTGGCACTCTCTTGTCACACAGG